CCTGAAAAATATTTGGGGGTGCTTAACTTTTTTCCAGGTGTATATATACACACACACACATAGTTTTTTTTTCTTGTTGTCAAGGGGAAAAGTTGGTGAATCTAAATGTACGTATTTGAACTGGAATATATTGTGAAAGAAAAGGAATAGGTAGAAATTCAATTTTGTATTTTATTTAACAATGATCCAGAAATCATAACATTATACTTCAACTGATGAGCCATTCAAATTACATAAACAACTGTTCTTCTGTCCTGGCTTCAGTGTTTCTTTAATACATCTCACTTCTAGTCCTACAACACATATTAGTCTTATCCATGTTTTATGTTACATTTGATTTCATATTTAATTTCGAGTGTAACATGCTGATGTTATATTTAATTATGAATGTAACGTGCTGGTGTTACACTGTATACAAAACATTTATATTGAATTTTTCACTTCATGTCAATTTATACCATCAGTTTTACTTCATATGATGTATTTTATACTGTAACACAATGTTCACCGGATCAACTTATACAATCAGTTTCACTTCATATGATGTACTTTATACTTTAACACAATGTCCACCGGATCAATTTATACCATCAGTTTTACTTCATATGATGTACTTTAACACAATGTGGAGGATGAAGAGAATGTGTACAGGTTTTGCAGAAAGTTATTGCATCAAGACAACTGTCCGCTGATGAGGCCCCAACAAGATTTAGTGAATGAGCAGCACATGGCACAAAATGGGCAAGTTCATTTAATTCTTTGATTCTGGCCTGCAAACCTGAATATGCATCAGCCATATTAGAGGCATTGTCATAACCTTGCCCATGAAGGCTACTAATGTCAAGGCCTAGATCTTCAGTTATGACGTCTTTCACTACATTTGCTAAATTTTCTGCTTTATGTGAATGGACCTCAACAAAATTGATAAATCTCTCAATTGGTCTTCCGTGTGATCCGACATACCTGACTATGAACGTCAGTTGATCCACGTGACTAATGTCAGGCTATTGGAGAAGTATTCAGCTTGTTTGATCTCGGAAACAATTTCCATTAACAGTTGTTTTGCCATCATTTTAATAAGTTCCTCGCATATGGTTTTTGACAAGTAAGATGTAAAACCTTTGCCTGCCCCTGCATACTTTTGGATGTGTTGAGCTAGAAAAGGGTCAAACTTGGCTAGCAACTCAAATATACCTAAATAATTACCATTTTTATCTCACTCAAAATTTTCATCATTCCCACGAAAGGCTAGGCCCCTTGTTGCAAGGAACTTTATTAAGTCAACAACACCTCTCAAGACTGCTTGACAGTACTTCTTTTCCTCCTATAACTCCCTAACAAGATCTTGGTCAATTCTATGCTCATCTGATGCTCTGGCATGCCAAATTCTAATGCAGTTTTTGTGCTCAGAACTGTTCTCGTGCGTCCTAACCCTGCTATGGGAATTTTTCCAATCACTGAAACCATTTATGAATGCTTTATCTTCATTCTTTTGGCAAAACACTTTGCAAGGAGACAGTACACACACCCAGTAGACAGAGAATAGACTAGCCATTCTCTATTTACTTTCTCAATATTTACCATAGTTCTTTCAAACAAAGACTTGGTAAGGTAGCGTTTGTGCCCGTTATGCTCTTTTTCAGATCTTGAAAAGTCCTGCTTATAAATGTTTTGCTCAATCGGCATTTTTACTATTTCTTCTTGGAAATGCCTATCCACTTTCCATAAGGCAGGATCTGACTGTAGGATATCACCCGAGGGTAGGATAGAACTGTTTGATGTTGATGATCCAGGTTGACAATCTTCGGACTGAATGGGTGCAGAAACATCAACATCCATTTGGGCAACTGGTTCCTCTGAAAAAAAAAAGTGTGGCTTATGAATATCTATATATATGTATGATGGTAATTTTAGGGTAAATTTATCAATGGTCAGTCAAATTTTCTCATTGAAAATGTTTGACATGTAGGCTTTATGAAAAATCAAATAAAAACTTACCATCATTGGCAATTTCAGTATTTACTTTTGAAGGCCCTGCTTTTCCATAAAATACAGTTAATTTTGGAACTGATTTCATTTATTCTTGTGCAATTTTTTTGTTTGCGGCGTTTTTCAGTACCACTGAGATAAACTCTATGCCTCTGCTTTTCTGACATGGCATTGATAAGTTGTGATGCTTATCTCAGATGTTCTGCAAGGTCTGCCTGTGTCGCTGCACAGACTCCCCTTCACTGCACTCTTTTTAAGGGTGAAGTTAGTCTTCCAGAGCTCTGAGTGCTTGTGCAGAACAAACTCGCACCAAAATCAAATCCAACGACATATGCACTGTATATGTTTACTAAATTACATTTCAAAAATAACCAAAGCCTTGTGATAAAAAAATTAAATTAGGGATATCATGTTAACCAAAGACTCTCCACACTTTCTCCAATATAGTCCTTAATTTTCATATAGGGTAATATATTTGCTATGCATGGGTTTGTTTATTGCATCTTTCTTTATCATTAGGGACCCATTTCCCATGATTTGCACAGCATGTACCTGATCAATTCCTTCAGGTCCACAAATTTGTCATACTTCAATATATTTTTCAACACGTTATCCTGTATAATCATGTATGTGAGGGTGGGGGCCCCTTATATATTGGATTAAACATATCTTCAGTTCGTAAACAAATGTACGATTTTTTATCATTCTATATTGTCGCGTCAG